CAGCTCTTATGCACCAAATCGCGAATAGCCCTAGAGGGTACACGAATTACATTTTGGTAGAATTTTGTAATGGTTTGACTTTAACTTTGTTTTTCCAAATCCAAAAAATTACCATCGCACGTTTAATAATATAGATAATTATTTCAAAATTAGCTTTTTTGGATATTTCATCATACAATTTATAAGCTTAAAAAGGAGAATATGTTGAGTTGTTGTTGTTTCCCGAAGAGTTTTTTGGGAGTGACAGTCCTTGGCCAAATATAAATCTTGGTCGTTCCGGTTACATAGACCCGACTGTCGTAAGAACGAGAATATGTTCAGTCTTACAGATGGCTGAACTTCACAAATATGGCGAAGGTATGAGTTTATCCATTTGTCCTTTTTATACCACCTATATGAACTGGTCAAAATTTGACTGCATTTTCCCACAAAATTGTGACGTTTAACCAGTGTATTATGAAACATGCGATACATCGTTCATTTACCAAAAGGCTGTCATAACTCATCGTTTGCCGGAAGAACGACAAGCAAAAACCAAAAGAAAACTAATTTTTAGTTATTTAGAAATGGCCTCCTAATTCAAAGGAACCAAAGAAGGTTTTGGTGACAGCTTTATCTTCTGTTTGCAGATTAAATATCACCATTGTTATATATTTTTTTCGATCTTATGTGCATATATTTGTTTAGTGCCGAAAATCAATCTTAAGACTTTAAAACCGTTCTGCTGCCATTTCCGATTATTTTAAATTATGACATTCTCCCGCAATGTACTTAAATTAGAGCCCTTGAACCAAATATGCCTACAAATTAAAATAGGACCGAAAAAAGTACAGTTCTGCCTAGTTTTCCATCACTGGACCGGACACGGTTAATGTAAACAAACAAACCTTTTAACCAGTGTTGTAAGGTTTTTTAACGCTCTATTTTGGGGAAATCTTACAAGACCGTCTACGTACAGCTTTGGCCTAACGTTGGCGTTGGCGTTTGGTTACAAAATTAAGATACTAAAGACAAAAAAATTAAAATTTCGTTTCTTTGCATTAAATAGGAAGAATATCTTACATAATTTTAATTACATATATGCAAAAGCTGGCAATGGACGCGGGAGAAATGTTGAGAGTTGGGCATCTTTCGGATTTGTGTTGAGATGAGCGTTGCCTAATTGTGGCTATTAAACGGGCGTTTAGTCTTTTGTGGATAAATACTTCTTAGGTATGTGGAGTTTGTGGAATTTCTGGATTAAAACATTCTTTCACTGATATGCAAGAAGGCGGATATAACCATTAGATTCACTTGAATGCAAATTNATTACAAAGTACTTGGTTTTGATTGCGAGTGGGTGACTGTGGGGGGAAAACGACGCCCAGTAGCACTGTTGCAGCTATCCTCGCAAAAAGGCCTCTGTGCGCTATTTCGCCTATGTAATTTGCAACAAATTCCCAAAGATCTCCGTGATCTTCTCGAGGATGATAAGGTGATAAAAGTTGGTGTTGGTACTCAGGACGACGCTCACAAATTAGCATATGATTATGGCGTTGGTGTGGCTAGCACGTTGGACTTACGCTATCTGGCTGCACTGGTTAATCAAAAACCAGAAGGTTTGGCAAAAATGGCAAAGTCTTTGTTGGATGTGCACTTGGATAAACACTGGCGTCTTTCCTGTTCAGATTGGGAGGCTAAAGTACTTAACGAAAAACAATTGCAGTACGCAGCAAATGATGCGTTGGTAGCAGTGAAAATATTTGAAAAGCTTGCGATGCAATTGGATCCAAAGTAAGATCATATCCTTTTCATTTATGGAAATTTCTGTATATAGATTTACATTTTAGGCCGTTCTGGAATCTCAACAAGATAAACTTCTCGGACGTTCAAGAGCGATTACAGCCCTTTTATGACATTCGCTTTAAGGAAGGCCTTCTGAATAATTTAACGCTCACTGACAGGAGAAATGTTACCATGTCCGCTGGAAAAAAAGCTAAACAA